GAAACAAGTCACGTGACAGTGTACTCCCGCCTTTTTTTGTTCATTGTTACAGTATTTCACTAGATCAATGAATCAGTAAGTCGTTATAGCAGCAAAAAAATATTCCCTTTGGTAATCTCACCGCCATGTTCTACTTTCGTAAGACTATAATTAGCTACCTAGAAGAATTTGTGAATGTATCGACAGCAGTTAGATTCTTCAAAAAGTCAACAACTTACTGCTGGTTCGAATCATCTAGCCGCCTCACTCATCATCTGTTTTTACATTAAGAAAGAGACCATTCTATCCAACACAGATGTTAGCGAATAAAAATAGTGACACTGAATATTCATGGAACCTACTTCACAATAAGGATCTAAATGACAGTAGTCAGTCCCTAATATTAGCAAGTTATTATTTGGGTAGAACATCACCAATGATAAATAGTATTTGATTTTTGAAATAATTTACCATCATCAATGAGGCATCGGTGAGTTCTGATTAAGTCAGTTACGAATAGTAATAATCATAATAATAATAATGACAATAATGACTTTATTCTGAAAGATATTTCGGGAATACTGTACAAAGTTTTCAGCATGTCATATAGAATCAATCGGACAGAAGTAGTTTACATGTATACATAACAAAATGGAATGAGTAAAAATTAAATGAATAAAAGATAAGAATATTCACTCTATCTACAACTTTCTTCAAAATACACAGTCAATTTAGGTAGACAATCACAATAGTAATTACAGTCATAATACATAAATGGTAACAAGCTGTGTATTCATCATTCAGTTTACTTTCAAAAACAGAAGTTGGTTGGTGTTAGTACATTCCCAATACTTTCTAAATCACACAACAGACGAGCTAAATAGCTATGGTATTGTAGAGTTTTTCTATTTTGTAGTACGTGGATAAAGTCTTATGTACTTCCTCCTTGTCTTTCCACATGACCGACAAGCAGAGAGCTCTGAGTGAAGACGATGCTGGTCATCTCATAAAATAACTCCTCCCACATGTTTACATCAGTTAACGTGTTTGTCCACTACAGTTTCAATTCGAAAGTTTAGAAGTACACCACTCCAGTTCTGCTGACAATCTTCAAAGTCCTACTCAGTACAGCATAGTCTTTTTTCACAGACTCAGGTAGGAATAAAGAGGAATAGTAGAGAAGAACAGGAAAGATGCAGGAGTTTATAAAATGCAAGACGAGAGGCTCAGTAATATCAGATACTCTCAGCTTCCCAATTTAGAAAGTTAGGCAGAAAATTCTTCTGGAAATTAGTAAGATATTAGAGGACCAGGATAGGTCCGAAGAAAAACACACACGCCGAGATAAATCACACTTGTAACATCCTCTAATACACAACTATCAATAGAACAGGAATCATGAGAACTAAGCAGTTTACACTGGTTGGTTATTTTCACATCTGACACTTAAGTTAATAGTCTGACACTTTGAAGATTTAAGCACAAGACCATATACGGAGGGCCATCGTCTAACGGTGGATAGGAAATCATTCAGTTGAGAACAGTCTGTGAAGAGGAGACATGTATGGAAACTGTCAGATCATTAGGATATTTGATGAGATTGATAGTGGCTGAAGATAGTAAGTGCTACAGAAAGAAAGAAAGAGGAAAGACAGAGTGAAAGGACGAGTCCTCGGGGAAGACCAGTCATAGACAGTAAGCAAAGAGGTGGAGCGCTTCTCTCTATGAATAGTATGTTATTTGTTTTCAGAGAGATAGTAATACAACTAGCTGATTATCCAGGACTCACTATTTGTCGCTGTTAGGTTGTCAAAGGAAATAGGTTTTGGGATGGAATCAAATGCCAAGGTATAGTCTAAAACGGCGTATCTGACACACTTGGCATTTCTGTCAGGATTACAAGCAATATTGCGATATAATAGTGCGGTGGGATCCACAGTGCTTCTTCTAGGTGACAGCTTTCCAATGAATATGATCCGCATAGTAAGGAATTTCATAAGAATATTTATGCACTTTTGAACCAACCAGTTTGATAAAACACAGGATATAAGCCAAAGCTGCTAACGATGATAACTATTCAAACAAACGATGCCTAGATGCTTGATAAGATTTATAAAATTCTATCGTGATTCCATATTTTCGGGTTACAGTAGACATGACACCAACATATGCTTAATATTAAGGTAAAATGATATTAGAAAATCTGGATGCTTGAACTGTGACCCACTAACTGAATGATAAAGTGATTGCCATGACAGCTGAAGGTCCTAAGTTTGATAGCTGAGGAACAAAACAATTGTTCAGTTATTTCGGGTTTTCAATACGTCCTCAACTGATAAAAACTCTGCCGTAAATACGACTGAAAATCGAAAGAATTTTTTCAAGAAAATCTTAAGAGAAAATTGAACATTGGAAATCAATTGAAAGACACAAAGAATACTAAAATATCGGAGAACACCTATCCGAGCATAGGAAAAAAAACAGAAAACGACTTTAGCAAAGGAAAACTTCCTCTTTCAAAGGTACACTCATGAATATATACTAAAAGCGATAGAACATTTCAGAGCGTTTAAAGTGGGGAAATAAACAAAATCATCACAAAATACAAAAAAATGATTACGTCATCCAGGTTTTATCTGGAGTTGTCGATTCACTGCAATGGCCATAGCAAATAGCTAACTAAAACAACAAATAGAGCGATTCTTACTTTGATTACAGTCTAAGTTCATAGATAATGAGTCAAGTTGGAAAACGTTTGTTTTCTTCTAATTTTGAGTGATTATTCACAGTTGACGATAAAATATCACCAAACAATTTAGTTACTGACATAGCACCTCTTATGTGTGCGTCTGTTGCGATCATTGACGACCTAGAATTGGATAAATGGAGTAGAATTCAGGTTCTTACCTAACTAGGCTTAAAGTAGACTTTTTAAGACAATTAGCCACAACTTTAGAGTCAAAATCCTGTCTAATATAATAGAGATGCATAAGGAATTCGTTTAAGTCGTGATCTACTTCTGTGTACCTTCAGTAATCCTTTCAACCTTTATATAGTTGATGTAGTAGGATCTGAGCATTTCAAGACTCCGATAATCAATTTCCAGTCTTTTCTGCACTACAAACAAAGTGGGACATTTGACTTAAGACTGATATCACAGAAATTAATGCAAGGAGACTAGCAGAGTCCACTTCGTAATCTATGTAAAAACCATTCAAACCAAACGATACAGTCACACTGAGGTAGCACAGTATTACGTATCGCAAACTCATAGGATACATCGTCTCATGAAAAGTCTGTATTACACTAATAAATCCTGGTTGTAATGTGTTCTCTTAGCTGGGTTGTTTAATTATGGAGCTTTCATCACCATCCGCAGCACTAACTTCAGTATGAAGTGAGCTATCAATATCTCTGTGAGTGCTCAGATCCCTCCCTGACAAACTGGTTTTTGATTGGCTGTGTCATTTGATAGTTGCATTATGGAGTGTACAAATTTTCCTGTGGGCTATTCTTCTCCTTGACCTCTGACCTTTCTGTCGTTTACCATTTTTCTCATTGGTTGATAGATTGGGTCTATGTCCATACATCTATTGATTGCTCACTGACTGACTGACTTGAATGACAAGCTTCTAGGAATTCCCTCATATTCTCTGTGTTTCCTCTCTCCATCCAAGACTTCTACATTGTCAAAACTGAATTCATGTTCCACTTGCAATGAAATGAGTGATGAAATGTCATGACGTTTATAACCAATTGGTTTTCATGTAAATCAACTATTCCAGTTGATTTTGTAAATGATATTCGGTTTATCTTCTTTGGTTGTTGCATCCTTTGGTCTGCATAATATGGTATGGAGGGAATTTGTTGGTTTATGAGCCACACCACTTTCATCAAGTGGTTTCAATAATGTTGTTGTGATTTCTGATATATTCTTTATGTACGGTAGGATGGTCCGCTTGCTGATTTCTGTCGATGATGACGAAAGCTCCATGATTAAACAATCCAGCTGAGAGAACACACTACAACCAGTATTATACATCTGAGCTATAAATAATCTCCACCATTTCACACTAATAAACCCCTCAAAACACACTAACAAGGCAACATCATCAAGATACCGTCGTCAAGCTCAGAATCGGTCTAATTTAGACAACCAGCCTTTAGATAATAACCAAAATCTAAATAATTAAAAAGTCGACATAGTTCTACTTGTTCATAACTATATTTTAAAATTGTCTGCTATGTGCATTCTAGGTAATAAGTAAATAATGTTCACCCCTCTCCAAAACCACCACCACCACCAATAAAAGAATTCTTATAACTGACCCCTTTTTAATTGATTAATTAATCAATGCATAGTAATATAGTTTGTTTTTTTTAATTAAAATAGGCGCATGAAAATTTGATAAATGCATTGTGTCTGAAAGAAATCTCATATATACTGAACACGATATCGAGACTATGAACCAACTAAAAAAGAAAGGAAGACTATATGAAGACCTTAAATGAAAACTTTAAATTGTACCATTGAAAAAATAAATTGACTAAAAATTGCAGAAAATATTTAAATATATCACATATTGTTGACAGGGGGGGTGGGGATCCGGATAGGGCGCAGCGTTGACTTTGACAACCAACGGAAAAAATACACTATGACCAGATTTTACACATAAAGAATAAGAAGAGGATAGATGTCAAGTTATTGTTGAACGGGAGTGTATTCCATTTCTAAGATTAGTCATGATTGTAAGAGAAATGTATTTGGAAAGACTTTGTGTAAATGATACAAGAGAGATAGATAGTTTCTCAGGTAGGAGATGGTGGTGGTGACGGGAAGATGTTTACGAGAGGCAGAGTGTATGTATGTATGTATGTGTGTGTGTGTGTATGAGAGAGACAGTCCAAAGGGGAACACCACACTATAGTACATATAATATGCAGAACTTACATCAACTGTTTACATTGTAAAAGCCATTGTAAACATACTCTTCCAGGATAAAAAATGTTTTCAATATTGACTATGATACTATTTCTGGAAGTTCAATTCGATTACCATCTTCTATAATAATTAAAGCATCATGCTGATTTGTTCTTCCATTCGATAATATATGATGATGTTGATTATTTAGAGATTTATTTGACCTTGAACATTTGACCTTGTGTTTTAATTTACGCTGATAATTAATCCCTATTAAAATGCCTAATGTAATAATAAATAAAAGGATTAAAATAAGAATTGATGAAACAATCCAAATTTTTTGTCGATGATCAGTTTTACTACTACCATATTTAGTTAATACTATAATATTATGAAAGGATGTATTATTGATATATTGTAAAGTAGTTGATAAATTTGTCTGTAAGACTGATTCAATAGTTGTCATATTATTGAACTGTTTAATCAATGGAAATAATTCACTGGAACTTGTGGTTGTTACAATCTCTTTATTATCATTATTATTATTATATGATATAATTTCAATTATTGGTTTTTCAGGTTGATTAATTCTATTGTGTACTTGTTGAACTGGTAAATTATCTCTACAAAGCATTTCATCTGAGCATATATCAGTTATACAACTATCAAGAGGTAAATGATTCAATTTATTTATTAATGAATATTCGTTAGTATGATTATTATAATTTATTAATGATGAAAATTCTGTAAATTTTATTAAATATTGTCTAAGCGGTGGTCCAGATCGTATACGTATCACATTTATACTAGAATTTTGATAACATTTAATACAATAAAATTGTAATGGTACATTTTCACAGTCAATAAATCGTATTACAGAGATGAATGAATTAAAAGTTAAAAAATTAGAAAAATTTGCTTTACAATTTAATGTAACTTCACGTAAACTTGTCAATTCAACAAAACTACATGTATCCCAAGTTATTAAACTGGTACGTGCTAATAGATGCCTTAATCCATTCATACCAGCTAAACTGAGAGCATTGATTTCATTAATTTTCATATGAATATCAAGTTGTAATGTATCCACTAAATTATTGATAAACAAATTTGAAAATGCCCATGGATTAATCGATAAATATTGATGACTATTCATACTGCTATAATTATTATTATCATCATTATTATTTTTATATGAAGGATATGGACCAACGCACACAAATTTATCCACTCGTTGACATGATATTTCTTCAGTATATTTTAAAGGTGATTGAATCATTGAACATTGAATTAATTTTTTATCATTTGTTTTATTATTAGTATGATTTTGAAAGGTGGTCGAATTAAGATAACAAAAACATCTTTCAGGATTTGATATATAAATACACATGAATAATACAGATAAAATATTGATTAAACTATTGTCATAACAATTCCAAATTAACATAATTATTGATTAATATGATATTAGGCATAGGCATGTATTCACCGCCTGAAAGGCGGAAATATACTAATTATCTATAAAGTTTTCATAAATGCATAAATTTGTTTCGAAAAGATGTTGAACACACAATTGCTTATGTAGCAAATGAATATTTAAAAATGTTAAGGGAACAGGAATAAAGCATGCATAGTATGATGATGATGATTGACTATTGAATACGATTGGCTGTTGAAATAAATAATATTTTTACGATAAAGTAAATCGTTATCATCTGCAAAACCACCAATCAGCGCTAAGAATTAACAACCAGTAGAATACTATAATTGAAGAAAGAAGTTTGGTGAATTCATTATGAACGAATGGGGAAATGTTGTCTTAAAAGGTTGTTAATTTGACCTTAGCGATTATTGAATAGAACAATGAAGGAGAATTGTAAATTAGGTCAAGAAAACACGAACATGATGATGATGACGATGATTAGTATAGAGTTATTGTCATCCGTATGCACAGACAAATAGTGAAAAATTAGTCATTTATCATCTGTTTGATGGTGGTAAACAATGGAATCTAGGACGGGTGTTTCGTCCTGTTTGGGGCTCTCAGTTGGATTTACCCACACCCTAGTGAGTGGTGTTGTTCCACGGGGACTCGAAGCTCCAAATACCACAGTATTATGTCACCATATGTGGATCGACTCGATCCAGAACAACAACGGAAAGTTATGAGCACCAGTGAATCAGTCAGTTACTCCCCCTCTACTGTGTACCCATTTCAAAGTCAAACAACTCACAGAAGTTCTAGGATTGGATTTCGACAGAATATGAAGCCTAATCTTGCTTAAATAATAAACTTGTTCTGTTCAAGCGCATGACTGTTTAGAGGAGAGTGCTTAGCGATCAGTGGCTCAACTCTGAAAACTTTGTTAGGAAAGAATATTCATCCGGAGTCATTTGTAAGGTGAGACCGAACATATCAGAATCAAGGTGGACCGGCTAGCAGTGGCAATTGATCAGTTCAAGCCTGATCTCTGTGTTGTAAATAGGGACGCTCAATCTATAGTCACATCTCAGTCATAGTCTTCCAATGATTTCCATCACTCTAACATTATTATTATTATTTGTCTCTTGCGCTCCTAATGGAACAAAGGGCTTCAGTAGCACGTCTCCATTTCACTCTTTTCTCTGAAATCATTTGAACGTGGATCCACGACAGCTCACAAGCTCTCATTTCCTACTAGCACGATCTCCTCCATGTCACCCTGGGCTGGGACGCCCAACTCGTCGCTTCCCATGGGGTTCCACTCGACACTGTGGCCTGAAGCTTGATGTCCCCAAACGGCCGTCTCAGTGTATGCCCAATCCATCTCCACTTTCTCCCACATATTTGTTCGGAGATAGCTTCTTGTGGTTCCTTCCCAGACCTCCTTGTTGCTTATTCTTTCTGGCAATCCATCTGATCTTCAGTAGCGAGCCAGCGCAAGCAGTTGTTGATGAATATCTGCAGTTTGTTGCAAATCCCTTTCGTAACGCACCAAGTCTCTGAACCATACTTGACTGAAGTAGGTATTGAAAATCCGGATCTTGTTCCACATGCTGAGTGCAGATCTCCACACTGGTTTCAGGCTAATGAATGCGTGTCTTGCTGTCTTTCCGATTCTGACTTTGACATCCTCGTCTGTGCCGCCACCTGTAGTTGAAACAGTGCTTCCTAGATAGGTGAAGGAAGTTACTTCCTTTAAGTTTATCCCGTTGATGGTGACTGGAGTTTGTTGTTGTTGTTGATGGTGGTGGTGCGGTATCTTCATCACCTCTACCTCTGTCTTCTCTATATTCACTTGAAGTCCCCTATTCCTTCGCTGCCCTGACTCTTCTGTCAACTTGTTAGTTTTCGCCTGTAGATCTTCAAGTTTGTGTGACATCAGACACAAGTCATCGGTGGCGAAATCCAGATCCTCTAGGTTCTTTTCCGCAGTCCAGTGTATCCCCCTCTTATCACTCCCCACTGTTTGCTGCATGATTCAGTCCACCACAATCAGGAATATCATGGGGGATAGTAGGCAACCTTGTTTCACTCCTGTCTTCACTTCCAAGGCATCACTGAGCTTCCCATTGTGAATTACTTGGCATGTGGCATCTTCATATAGTTGTTGAATGAGGCGGATAAAGGTTTGCGGTACTCCGTAGTATTGAAGCAGTTTCAAAATTACTTCTCGGTCGACGCTGTCAAAGGCCTTCTCAAAGTCGTTGAAGTTGAGGTGTAGAGTTGACTGCCATTCTATACTCTGTTCTGTAATGATGAGTAGTGTAGCGTTGAAATTTGGTCGGCACATGATTTGTACTTCCTGAAGCCTGCCTGTTCGTGTCGTAGTTTTGAATCCAGTGCATCCTTTGGTCTCTCCAGGATGATGAGGTTTAATATTTTACTTCGGGTGGATAGGAGAGTGATTCCGTGCCAGTTCTTGCAAACACTGAGGTCTCCCTTCTTTGGCAGTTTGACAAGGTAACCCTTCTTCCAATCAATGGTCAGGTACCTTCCCTTCCTTCCACACCTTCTGCAATTGTGGTGTGGTGTGAGCATGCCCACTGTTGTCTCTGCGTCTGTTCTCAGTGCTTCTGGCGGGATCCCATCTGGTCCTGCTACTTTCCTGCATTTCGGTAGCTTTATGGCGTTCAGGACTTCCACTTTTGTTGGAGGATTTATGTTCACTTGTAGTTCAGCGGCTGCAGGTGGTATTTCTAGACGAATCGCAGGTAGTGGTGGTGGTCGATTCAAGAGCTTCTTGAAGTGGTCAGCCCATCTTTTCCTTTGTTTCTGTTCTTTGGTAATTGTGTTCCCTTCATCATCCTTTATTGGTTACATCTGCGTTGATCTCTTCCCCCCCCCCCCACCAGAGATATAATTTTGTCAGGTCTCTGTCCATCCTAGACGCAGCCTGTTCTGCTTCACTTGCCAGTGTTTCGTAGAAGTGTCTTTTATCTTTGCGTGCACTCTTTTTCACTTCTCTGTCCAGTGTTTTATACATTGTACTCTGTTCCTCATGTCGTTGAGCATCCTTGCACTGGTTTATCTTCTGCTTCACCTCACTCTAACATTATTAGTTAATAATTTCCGTATCATCCTGTTGTATTGATTTCGGTGATTAGTAATGAAATCCAGGGAGCATGTTTCGTCCCATTTGGGACTTGTCAGCTGGATGTATCTGATTTCCAGTGAGTAATATTGTTCCTGCCAAGACTCGAACCTTGTACTCGTCGCTCCACCGAGGTGCAGGTACAACCAGCTGACGAGTCTTAAATGGAGAGAAACGCGAGTCACCGAGGTGAACACAATACCATGAAGATCCGGTAGTATCAAGGCATCCACATAGGAACTCATTTGCGGGCCAAGATCGAGTAATTCAACCCAGTATAGCAACGAGAAGTTAAAAACGACGATTATTTTCGAGGTTATTACGCAACCACCTTAAGATTCTAGAAACAATTTACTGACACACTTGAAAGGTGAGAATATAACTTGACCACTATGGTAGATCGTAATGTAATTTTAGCCTGTTTATTCGATGAACCACACAGCAAAACAAGATTATTTACTGAATAACATTTCATGGACAAATTGTTGTCTATAGTCATACTAGGTAGTTCCATAACTTCGGAACGTGGTTCATATAACTTGAATTCTCTCACCCTCCTTTTCATGTAAGTAATAAGATTCTCCATATATTTGAGACATATGCAGAATCATCTCCATTGCATTTATTTGGTTTTGATTCGATAAACAAAGATTCGGATATCATTCTGTCCTCACACCCCATCGTGTCTTATCCTGTTGAGTAGTTATATGTAAGTGCATGCATAGCTATGGCCGTGTTTTTTCTAGATTCCTTATCTTACTACTATCTGTCGCTCTGGTGCTCCAATGCCCCCAGCTTACTGTAGTTGTCTGCTGTGATGTATCGCAAGTAACTTAGTAAACTAAACTATCTTAAAGGGGATGATCAGTTTGAAAATGATTTAAAAATTGCTAGTTGATATTTTTCCCAGTTGGGCAGTTATTCATCTGCTGCCTAACTGCGGTATCAACCGGGTTTCCGCTGCCGATGAACCTTTAACACTGCAGTGTCTATTCTTTCAAATAGTCTAATTGCTTATCCAATAATTTGAAGAGATAAGAATTTGGAAACCACGGACTGGAACTACTTCCATGGTAGTAAGTCTTACTCTGTTCACGGATTTCACCGCTTATCTATCGATTACGAGGCGGAAAGAATCTCACGTATCTAGCAAACTTTAACTCCATTTATAATGCCATTTTATTAAATGATAAAATCTAAAGCTGAAAAGTGGACCTCAATTGGGTTGGTGGCAGCTAGTAGTGAAGTACAGGATAAGCGTTTCGTCCTGCTTTCTGTTCGTCAGCTGAATATGCATTCATCCAACAGAGATTCATCACTTTAGTGGCACAAAACAATCAACGAAGAAGTATAAGTAATAGAAAATATGAAAAATGGAGTGTTTCAAGGTCACAGTGACTAGTTATTTTTAGTAGCTTGTGAAAAACTGGCAAAACAAAATTAATAATTTCTACAACAGTGAAGTTGGCTTTTAAAAATTAAACTATTGGTCAGGAGATCAATAATATGGCAAAAAGACTGAGTCAAGTATCAAAATAGAACTTTTTAGGTCACCGCATTCCCAAAAGAGGCATATTGGATCATAACTCTGTCTTCCTGTTATTTCCTAATCTGTTACAGTTGTCATGTGAAAAGAATTTACATTATTCAGCCTCATCTCAAAACAGTTGAATGCGAAAGTACCTAACTGGCTGTATAAACGAATCAATAGCCAATGAGTTACTAATATTTGTCTGCTCCTTGGTGTTCTGCAGTGACTAAAGTTTGTCAGTCTATTTTGACAATGTGATCACTCAGCTATTTGATGCCTCACTGTCAAAACGAATCGAAAGACACTCATCAACCTTGATCACTTTCTTGGAGCAGGCAACAG